AAAAAAAAAAAAAAGAAAATAAAAGGAACCTAGGGGCATAGGGTGTTCCCATAACACGTCACAGTCCCTTTGCAAGAACTGGTGAGATGTTGCCAATAAAGTCTGGGCACAGGACCCAACACACACAGCCAAAGCAGAAGTTCAGTAAATGTTGAGTGGCCACCTTAGATCATTCTCCCAAGTCCCAGAGAAGGACACACTCACAGAGGGAAAGAGACTTGCCCAAGGTCACAAAACCAGCTCTGTGGGACTCCGGAGCCCAGACTTACCACTTCCACTGTCTGCTGCTTCTTGAACTGACCCCTCCCTGGGCAGCTCTCAGCCGCTGGCTCTTCGCCCTGCCCACGCCCTAGCTTGTCCCTCATGCCACCCTTCTGTGGCTCTCCCAGGCCACGTTACCACCATTTTCCCAGTGCCTGGCCAAACACACCTTTCCGTGGGGCCCTGAACTACCTTCCTCAACCTTAAATCTCAGTTTACTCCACTGAAAAAGGGGAGTCGGAAAGCCTGTTTGCTAGCCGTACTTGAAAAGCATATTCATGATGCTGATATTGTATTTCCTAAGTCCTTATTCTGGGCCAGGTGGGGGCCTAAATGGTTTACTCAAATAAACAAACTCATTCAATCCTCAGAACAACCCAGTGAGGGGGGGAGACCCGTATTTTACAGATGTGGTGGCTGAGGCACAGAGAGAGGGAGTAACTTGCCCGGAGTCACAGGGCAACAAATGTGGGGGGCCCGGTTTGGACACCAGGCAGAGTCTAAACTTGAGAGTCTAAAGATGGCCACCCTGTTGCCCACAGACCCCTTTGGATGGGGCGGGTGGGTGTGTTATCCCCATGGAAAAAACAACGTCCGGAGATGCTCTAAAGTCCCGGGATTTCCTGCACCCTTGACCATATCTGTTTGCTTTGCTTTTTTTTTTTTTTTTTTTTTTTTCCATTCCAGACTGAGCGCAATGAATTAGAAATCATTTTCGAGCGCGGTCTCTTGGTGCTAGCTCTGAGGGCCTCGGGTAAGTGGCTCCAGCCTCGGTGTCCTCTTAAATAGAAGGCTCTAGTCTCCTTCTAGCAGAGCTGAGTGCTCGACACAATGAGATCATGCTCGGAAAAACTCCGTCAGCCGGCCAAGGCTCGTACAGAGCGCTGTTGTTTGGCCGAGTGCTGGCGCAAGGGTGGGAGCCCGGGGGCCCTGGCCCCGCGACTCGGCTGGGCCGCCCTCCTCCCGTCCCGCTGCGCCCCTGCAGGGCCGCAGCTGCAGCTGCAGGAGAGGACGGCACAGCTGGTTCACCTCCGTCCCCTCCAGCCCCAGCCCCGCCAAGACGGAAATAACCGCCCGCTCCAGACCCGGCCCGACCGGTTCTCGGCTCTGGGGGAGAGGTGGCCAGGCGGGTGGGGCCGAGGCGGGGCCGGGTCCGCGGGTGGGAGACACCTCCCCCCCCCTCCCACGCCTTGGGCTCGCCGCGCTTGCTGGGGCCACGTGGCTGCCGCCTGCGGTCCCTTCCCGCGTCTTGTCCCGCGTGCCCCCCGGACCTGAGCCGGGGCCCCGGGACCCCGGCTCCCCGCTGCCCCTTACCTCGTGGCCCTCGCGGAGTG